GATATCAATAAACTGCTAGCCCTAAAGGGATTTTAAATGAAAATTGAAACTTATTCCATGGTTCCGAAATTTTGAAAACAGTGACGGAGCAATTGTTTTCGAGGGGTCTAGGGATTTAAAAGGACCGGTTTTTTAGTAGACAGGTTTTTAGCAGACTAAGAACAATTATATAGTGCGATAGCTAAATTCAAACAAAACATTGGCGACAAGCTACCGCTTGCTCCGCTGCGCTTCAATTCAAAACGAGTGGTATTGTGAGGGTAATTCTTTGTTTTGCCGCTAACTTAGACTGTTGTGTTTTTGAAATTGATAGTTTTGTTTATAATTGCGAGATAGTTGACTTAATTGGGGAAGCTCAGCCCCAAATTGAGCGTTTTTTTGAGTCTGTCAATCAAGCATCAATCACTTTATAACCATTTATGCAAAAAGATTGGTCTGCTAAACGAGAGATCCCGTTTGCGACCTAAGAGAATATTATAAATAACACAAACATTGACGAAAAATTTATCACTGCGTTCTAGGAAGCGTTTTAAGTTTAAAAACAAAAGCGAATATTTTTTCAAAAAAGATCTCAAACCTGCGAATTATAGTGCCATTACACAAAATTAACCGCTTAAAAGATACTAGGAAAAATGTTCACAGAAAAAAGTCCAACCTGTTCACTTAACTTGAGTCTAATCAGTCATTAACTCAAACCAGCTTTTCCTTTTTCCTTCAGGTAACTAAAATTGAGCTAAAAAAACTAAACGTATGCAAAATTTTTCATTTCAGCTGGTGGTACCAAATGGCTCCTGAGACTGCGGAACTCGAAAGAGGTGTTTCTGACAAATATAAGCGATTTTCACCTGAGCTAAATTCAAGCACGCTTAATTTTTTTCACAATATGCATTTTTAGACAGAGAAAAATATGCTAATTCTTCACAGAGGCAAATTGGAGCTTCGCACCACTTGCAATACAATATGGATTTGCAATTCACAAAATGACAAAAAGCTAAGACGACAAAATAAACCTAGACCGAAAAAGTGGCACAGAATTTTTTTTTAGAACCAGTTAATTATATTGGAATTTTATCGGCATATGCTTGAAGCCAAGTGTCGTAACGCTTATAATAGATTACAGGCATAATTTATCAAGCAAGCCGATAAATTACGAGAATGAAAAAAATCAATAAAATTGTTTTCAAAACCTCAAAGAACTAAATCTTACCTAAATCTTGAAAATCTTCTTTCGACTTGTCTGAAATGCAGTTCAAATTGAGGGGGAAAACAAACAATTACCCAAGCTCTCGCAGCAAACTTACGGAGCAGTTGAGCTGAAAGATGGAACCAGTTTAAACAAGTAGCTGTGGCGAGCAACTCTTTAAAATAACCAAACCAACAAAAAAAAATTCTGCGAAATTAACTAATGAGATCACAACTAAAACTGAATTAAATAAGTGCAGAAAAAAAATTGTATAAAATTTAATAGAGCATAATAACCGAGCAGTAGAAGGGAGATGAACACTCGACGACATTACGACTACGGAATGGCAAATCGAAAAGTTATGCTTGCCGCAGTCACAAACCTCACTGGATATAGCATGGAGCCGTTATCACAGCAAAGGTATCCATCGAAACAAAACATAGGCCAACTCGAAGACAGAACTCAAACATAAGTATCCTTGTCACTGGGCATTTCACTCAGAGAAGTCAAAATTTTGTCTTGCTACTTGATCAATTACGAATGAATAGTGAGAATGCACGTACTCTCGCTCTGACTTCCAAATTGTTACTCTACAAGAAACAAACCCGCACTTCTTTACGATCTTTCCATATTCACGACAATCCTTCAACATCATCACATGTATTTCGCAGGCACAAACAACCAATATACTCTACAATTTTCTTAAAGAATTTGGCAGACACTACATCCGTCCCTTACAAAAAATTTTGAATTATAAAACTTCCTAAGCCCCGGATGGGCAGAATCAGATTAATAAAAGTATCTAATTGATAGTTTGATATTTCTCACCGTAAAACATTAATAACTTACCAATCATGTACATGACTAAAACTTACAATAAACAGCAAAGTTGAAACTATTTCTAGTTTCAGTCAGAGAATTAAAAACAAAAAATGAGGTCAGTTACTTTCTTTTCTCCTTTAACTTCGCAATAAACCGGTATATCTCTAGATTTTTTAAGACTATAAAACATAAGAGTAAGATTAGGATTGGTATTAGACTAAGAAGTTGTACGAACCTATCCGGCATTAAAAATCATAGCTTAACGAACGGACGAAGCATTCTTATCCAAAAATACTCTATGCGTCGGACCCAAACTCAAATTTCTTCAGCCGACTTCCGTTGGCTGAAAAAAAAAAGTTACCAGAAAATTGTGTTAGCTGCAAAATTAAACCCTCCCCCCTCCGATGAAACCAAAGACAAAAAACGATAACTAGAATCGTTGTAATTTGATTCAGCAAACCAAAAAAATGCTTTCAATGCAATAGTAAGAGAGAAGTTGCGCTTCGCAAGCACCAGCGAGAACACAAAAACATAACTCGTTTGAACCAAAAAAAAACTAATTAAACTTGAATTAGTAAAAATTTTTTTCTCGTCCGACTCGATCCTGCGTTATAGCGTCTCACGCGCTTGCCACTCACCCACGGACGTTTATCGCTCAAATACATAGAAAACCGAGAAGAGATGGTCCGTGCTACTGATCGTGATTATAGCACAAAGGCTACCAAAACATCACTTCGATTTAAAGTTAGGTTAGGAAAACGAAATTTCATACTAGTACACTATGCTGACAAGTGTAAAAAAACGCCATAGAGGAAAAACAAGCGAGAGAAAAAAAGTTTATGCATTTCAGATGGTAAAACTTCTATTAAATTTATAAAACCCATACAGATTCGAAGCATTTTTTTTTCAACTAAGTGTCCTTTTTTTCAGCTAGGTGTGTAAAAAGATCCCAACGAAAAGAAAGAATTGAGGCATTTTTGACAGTGATAGTAAAAAAGCCATCCGGAAAACAACTTTTGAAGAAAACTGACTAGAAACACAAAACGTTGAAGAAATTTTTAAAATTTCTAACCTTCGTTTACCAAATGGCGCTGAAAAACTCCAAAAACTACTCCGAAAACGAAAACACAAACACTCGAAGTTTTTATGATCGTTCGAATCACGATTAAACGGACTTGAATATGATATATCACTCGACCCATTCCGATATTTATTTGTGGTGCCTGATTTTATTTGTGGTACACTATCTTCTTCAAAGTAATATATCTTAACACTAACAAGGACAGCCGGTAACTGGGCATATAGCTCATAATGATCCGATCAATCTTAGAAAAATACAAAAAAATTCTTTCAAATTTATGTCGTTATTTTCTGCATGTTGTGATAAAATCATGTTGCATGTTGTGATAAAATGAAAACATAGAATATAATCTTATTTGAGAGTCACACTACAATAGGTCAATCGGAAAACAGTTTTTAAAGAAAGGACAGCCGGTAACTGGGCATATAGCGCATAATGATCCGATCAATCTTAGAAAAATACAAAAAAATTCTTTCAAATTTATGTCGTTATTTTCTGCATGTTGTGATAAAATCATGTTGCATGTTGTGATAAAATGAAAACATAGAATATAATCATATTTGAGAGTTACACTACAATAGGTCAATCGGAAAACAGTTTTTAAAGAAAGTGACTCGGGGAAAAAAAATAAAAAAAATTGAATTTTGGTTACCGAAAGTGCGCTATAAAACTCCAAACACAAAATTTACTTTATTATAACTTAGCTTTCATGGCTTAAATAAGCTATTGTAAGCCAACACGGTCACCGTATTAGCTCGAAATAAGACCCAAAATCAAACATTTCAAAGCCGTCTTTCTCGACACTGTGAGAAAATTTTTAATGTTCAAATCACGGCTGAAAGGGCTTTAATATGATTTATTATCACCCTCATTCTGACGATTATTTGTGGTACCTGATTTTGCATGGAAAACGAAAAAAAAACAGACACTCAAATACAAAGTTCCTCTGCATTTTCAATGGTCGGAACAACAATTCAGTCAATATTTTCTTGACTGCGCTTTTTTTAAAATCAAAGAAGCATGTACGAATCTACGCAAAGATTTAAGCGGTTAAATTTTACACTTCATCCTAAAAAATGAAAGTTTCATAATGGCCCGATTTTTGTTTAAAAAAGACTTGAACGCATGATTTCTTTATTAATTTAAAAATGACCATCTTAGATGCTTTCGCTTTAGAAAAAAAAATGGATTCCAATAATCTATATTTGATACAAAACAAGCTAATATACAACTGTGAGATGAAAGACCTGCTTGCATTATTCAGTTACACTCAAGTCATCTATGATAAGTTATTTAATCATATGTCAATCTTTAGATTAATTAACAATTTAACCCTTTCTACAGTAGCACAACAGTTAATTGAATAAGTACTCAAGGACTTACTCTTTGCAAAACACCATGAAAAATAAAAGCCTAATTACTGCACGCAGGCATCCAAAAATAATTGGTGATGACATCGGAAAAGCTAGCGACGAAATATATTCGACCTATTAACTTCTTAACTTGAAAATAAATTAACGTCTTAAATAAATCCCTGAAATAATTAACGTATTAGTAACAAACTTCGGAAAAAGTTCTTTAGTTACAGGGCCATTTTTAAATTCATCATTCATAAATTGGAAAAAATTGCATAATTTAAATTGGGAAAAAGTTATAAAATGGTGAACAACTTTTAAAATGAAGCAGTCTATTCGAAGCTTGCAAACGAGCGACAGTTCAAAGAACTGGAATGGTTTGTTCCGTAATACACTAAACACTCTTACTGTCATTAGTGAATGCACGTAATCAAAAAAAACTTGAGGACAATGATAATAGGATTTATAAATAGCGAGAGAATTTTGCGACAAAATCATTCATCTTTAAAATCAGTACTGACCAAAAACTTTGACAATCAGAGCTAACAAAAAGCGCGGCAGGAAATTTGTGACATGGAAAAAGGTTACACATATAATCTTAGACCACTCATTTTGTCGCAAAATCTTATAAATAACTTTTGATTGATCAGTTTAAGTTAGCTGCGTTAGATATTTGTGTTGCTGGCAGCATGTGCCTTTCTGCACGTCTTTGAGCAGTAGAGCACTCCGTGTTTGGAGATGAAGGGCTGTCCCATCAGGTTCTTGTGACAGTGGATGCACTTGAAGCACTCGGGGGTGGCGTGCCAGGCAGACTCCAGGTACGACAGTCGAGACTTGGTCGCGTCTATCTTCTCGTGACACGATGAACACGTCTAAATTATATATTATTATGATTTCCTAACAATTGATGCCAAACTTCGCATGTAATGCCACATCAATTGAAATTTCGACACTAGAAAAAAGCGATGGGAAGAAATCATGAGCAGATTTGACTCCTGACTATTAAAAGGGACCTCTTTACCTTGAATAAACCTAATACGAACTAAGATTGAAGTAGGGGGTCTTTTTAGCTTTCGGAAAAAATGAGGTCAAAAATAAAAAAATTATCAAATGTTTTCTTTCTTTAATCCGCTCCAGAAAACCCTAAACCTACTCCTGGACGGAACTAGGGAATGGATTGGTTTTGTCCAAGCAATTTAAATTAAATGAAGTTGATGTTCTCATTAAATACCGTTTCGCATTTAAGCCCTTCAGAGCTAATTAAAACTATGTTTGGGTTTTAACAAACTGATACACCTTCACGTGGTATAAAAGTACGGTTCCGTACAACCAATTCACTCTAAAGACTCTTCTCAGACAAAGCTTGCAAAAAATCATCAATACATGAAGCTGCAAATCAGGAAAATTGAGAAATCGAACTTGGATAAAATCAATAAGCCTTGATGTACAACGGAACAAAAAGAGTTAAAGGACTTTGATATTAGAATAATTTTAGGTCAGTAAATAACACTATTTGTGGCAAACAGTAATTAGGATAAACGTTGAAATACACCTTCAGGTATAGTTCGAAAAACACCGAACTTTAAAATTGGCACAGAGTATAATTTGAAGAAAACCGCACTATATATTTAAATGGTTCCTTCCAATTATACAGTATGTAGCCTACTTGTAGTAGAACTGATTTCTTGATAGGAGTAATTAATTGGCATTCTAATGTGTTCATGACGGAATAACTTTCTGAAGGAAGGCGGAACAGGCTCTTTTTCCTTTTCCCCAACCTCACATGAGCCATCAATTTCATGGCAAAACATTTATAAAAATTCGCAGGTGGTGTGAAATGGAAAAAGAGCCGCGGAACAATACGTAGAATGATCTAAGTGAAGAAAGAGTCTATGAGCCGATACACAGAAAAAAAAAATTATAAGCTAATCGATATAAGTATTAGAAAACATCCAAATTTTCAAATAAACGAATAGATTATGCATAAATTGGGTAAGTTAATCAAAATTTTTTTAAGCTCAATTTATGCATAATCTTTTCGTTTCTTTGAAAATCTTGATGTTTTCTAATACTTCTTATATCGATTAGCTTATAAAAGTTTTTTTTCTGTGTATCGGCTCATAGACCCTTTCTTCATTATTTGTCCGTTATTCTGCTCGTAGACCCTTTCCTTTGTCTTTACCCATTCTGCTTATTGACTAGCCACCTTTATTTAAGGTCGAAACACGGAAAACAATAACCGACAAAAACAGCCATTCAAGAAAACCTGAATATTTTGTTCAAAACAAACAGGCCAACATGAGGCAATTGAGTAAGACTAACGTCATCTCGAGCGTTGCTAACGGTAACATAATTAACGCGCCAAAAATAGCGATATACATCGAAAAAAGTAGCCCTATATAATTATAACATAGCTCTCAGCTTGAGCGTGAAGATTAAATAAATGTGATAAGTTTAAGTTGCAATAATTTCGAAAAAGCAACTAATTTACACAAGACAAGTAAATCGTATACTTTAGTTAGCGCCAAAAGTGCCTTTACAAAACTTTTAGGGTCAGTCACCCAAAAATGGATATCTCAAAAAAGTACAAAGGGGAGACCCTTTGTGTCGGCAGGGGGTCGAACCCCTAAATCCGCCCCTGCACACAAATAAACAACAAAATTTGGGGAAAAGTTTGTAGCGAACTTAATTTTTCAATCAAACTCGAGGCATAAATGGCATATGAAAATCTAGCTTTCGAATATATTTTTTTCCGAAATAGATGATTTACTCATTCAAACTTATTGTTCCGACTTTCGATACGAAAGTAACGGAATATTTGCGCTCGGGGTGGGTTTTTTTTTCTTCAGACAAATTTCGACTTTTTAACTAGCCATTTTTGTCGAATTTTGTTTTTATCATTCAAAAGGCATTGTTGTCCTGAGCTTAAATATGAAAAGATATTTCACCTGTGATCATTTTTCGTAAAGTTATGAGGGTTTAAAGATGGCCATTTTGACCAATTTGGGACAATTAACGCGCGATATAATTCGCGCTATTAACGCGTAAGCGGAGTTTTAATCCAACTTATAAATTGTTCCAAATTGGTTGAACGAAGCTTATTTGCCATAACTGATGTGTTACAAGGAACGAAAACTATCTTTTTGTACTTTATATGGCGTGTGGGGGGATGATTTTCATAAAAAAATTTCAAATTTTAGAGAAAAAAAAATTTCATTTTATTTTATTTCATATAATGTTTTTATGTTATTACTGCTGCTCCATAAACCTTCAAAGCAGTCTGAACATTCAGGGCTTCGCCCTGATATGAACAGTCTTGTTAATTTTTCGTATCAAATATTCGAACTTTTCGTATCTCCGTAGCATGCCTAGCGTAGTGGGGTGGGGTACCTTTGCGAATTTGTCGCTGTAGCAGTTCATGCAGTAGGGGTGTCCCTCCTTGTTGATGTACTGGTGTCCGCCAAGGAGTGTGTCACAGTTCCAGCAGCAGAAGTGCTGCACGTGCCAGTTGGCATCTTCCGCCTGAGTGTACTGGCCAGACATTATCAGTTCATCACACGCATTGCACCTAACACAAACAATGACTATGTCTCGTTATTATCAAACAAACAGCATATTGTATTCAATTTTATTACCTCAAACTAGACAGAACAAAATAAAAGTATAATCATATACTTAGAAAAAACATGAAGAAATCAAAATGCAAGGAATTGTCACCAACACGCAGCATAAACCGTCAAGTCCAGAGCTCTTTGAACTGAGTCTCTAGACAAAACATTTTTCATAGAACGAAGCTACACTTCGCAAACAAGCACAAAACTATGATCAAGAGGAAAAACAAAAAAATAATAAATAAGTTATGAAAAATAAGAAGAATTGGTCAATTACGGGGTTCGAGCCACGTACCTCCTGATTACTCCTGACTGAGCCAACTTTCCCAAACGCCTTTAAGAATTTACACAAACGAATAGTGAATACCAGGCGCTCCAATAAAGCAGATAAATCGCTCGTCAGTCAATGGAACACAAAAGTTGAGCGCAAATTTAGTTAGAAAAGCACAAATCTAGTTGGGCTGAAAAAACTGAACTCGTATTATAACACACGCGTTTGCTTGTACAAACTCACCATGATTAAACTATGATATAACATAATTGATAAATGTTCACGAAAGTACCTGGGTCTATGTCTGTCGGCATAGTGTCTTCCACAGTACAGTTTCTCCTGGTCCCAAAAGTAGATCAGATCCACCAGCAGTTCCGCACACTCCGAGCAGCGGAAGCAAGCGGGATGCCAGCACTTGTTCGGACCCGCCCTTTCTGCAAACACCCCCACAGAACCTGCATGACAGGCGTTCTTGCAACCCTCGCAACACTTGAAAAATAACTTGGATTACATTCACTTTTTAAGATTATATGAAAAACAAACATTAAATCTGCTTTGACACTTGTGAAAATTATTCAATTTTAAAAAAGTTTGGAGAAACTTTTGAAAATCACAAATGCATTCAAAAGTTGATTAGTTTCTGCATTATATGACATGACCAGGATTCGACTATCTGTACTTGAGAGGTATTGAATGCGCTCCCTGATGGTAAATAAAACATAGCCAACAGACAGTTGGAAAAGAGTCAATGAACGCAAGAAAACAGAAAAAAAACTGTTTTTTGAAAAAATAAACTTAGATTTTCAAGAAACAAATAGATGTATTTAAAGATACTGAACTCCTAAAACAGCTTATGACCGGCACTTTTTCGATAAAATTAACCCAATTTGAGAAAACCGATATGAGAAATAAAAGGTAAAATTTTTATTTCGCTGGAAAAAGTGATACTTAATCTCCATTTTCGAAATTAGAAGTCGATCACGTTTTTCGTGACCTTGACACTTTTGCTGTTCAATAGTAGGGTTTACCTTCCTTTTAACAAAGGAAATCAATTAAATTTCAAAAGAAATCGAGTCAAACCGCAAAAAGTAAACTTGATCGTTAACAAATTATAAGTTTTTTCCTGAAAAAATGATAAAAATCATCAATCTACGTGACTCTTAAAAATATATCAGAAAGGTGTTTTCAACTGCTAATAGATTTTTACTACATAAACTGTATTGAGACAATTTTATTGAATACCTCGATCCTATTCATACCCATTTCTGATTTCCGAGTTGCTCCTTCACATTTCCGATGCCCAGGGCGTTCTTTTTGTATGATTCAACGAAGGTAGAAAAGGCGTCCAACTCTGAATCTTTCACTGCTTTGCAGGCTGCAGCGTCCTATAAAAATAAAATATAATTAAATTTTTAAAAATTAATTTCAATTTGAACACACTCTAACTAAACTAACAATTTCTGGACAACCATTTGGAACTGTTTCAAAAATTGACAGACACTTATTGTAATTTTTAACAAAACGCGTTCAATTTCGAATAAGTGAAGAAACTTTACTCATAAGTGAGGTTTTTGAATTTCGGTTTCAAATTTACCTCAAACGAATGGCATCGAAGCAAGCTTAGCTAAAAACAGTTGTTACAATTTCAAATAAATTAACCATATATATAATTATCCAGTCTTAAATTATCTGTTTACACCAAACTTTTATAGATGACAGCCATCGGAATCAATCATTTACACTATAATGGCTTTTTTCTCCTTAGCTCTACTGCAATACCTGAAAATGCAGCAGGATTCCTGAAATTGATTGATTTAATTAAAACTACGCCAAACCATTTTCAACTCTTAGTCACACAGGAACGGGATTGTATAATAAACAGCCAAAGGAAAACTTTATGGGCTCGCTATTCAATTACTCTCTCACGCTTTTAAATGATCTGTTGTTTGTCTTCAGCGTCGATTGATTAGATTTAATGCAATGCTTTAAAAGCTTGAAAAAGTATCTGAATATTCCTGATAACTTACAACATCGTGAGTGGGCAACTGATGTTGCAACTGCTTCGTCCTCTCCGTTGCACCCACTGTGCCTCTGATTGGCTGATTTTCAAGAGGCAGTGCCGATATGTACTTCAGCACTAAGCTCTTCGGGGTGTTAGAGGGAATCCACTCAAACGTAATCTGATCTTTCTCGTCTCCACCTGCGTCTGAAATCTTTTTGTATTCAGCTGCGCGTAATTTGTCTCCACCTTTGTGATTGCCGACTAATTCAGATGTGTCTAGCGTGTAAAACTGTCCGTACTGATCTTCGTGGTCTTGGCCAAAAAGCTTTCCTATCTTGTGCTGAATTGATGACTCGGCCTGGATATCGTGGTTTTCAGGGGGACATTTACAGGTGCTGCAGATTTTTCTGTAAATATCAAAAACCTCTATATGATTGCAACTTGCGCATTCAGATTCTGCTGCTACCATGAAACAACTAGTTTAAAACTAGAGATATATTATGACACATCAATTAAAAACAGGAAATCTTACCAACACCGAAGCCAATGACGTTCAAAACTTTTTCGGCGTTCAACAATTAAATTGTCGCACGATCTTTTAAAAAACTCAGATTCAAAATGTTTTTATTGTATCGGAAAAAAACTAAGTTGCCAACTGACATAAAAACTTGAATTTCAGACATTTCACTTGCCTCCAGAAGTGAAGAGCAAATCCGCCTTCGCAAGCATCTCCGCATTTGAGACAGGGTGCGCCGGCGCCGATGTCATGTTTTAAGCTTTTCTGAAATTACACAACATATTTAAAGTTTAATCACCAATGCAAAATAATACACAGGCGAAGCAGAGCTTCGCACCACTTGCGATACAATACAAGAAAGCCGCTAAGCCAAAAAGAAATCGAATATAAAATGTTGAGAAACTAGATCTATCAAAATGATTAAAGCTAATTTGAAAAATGCCTGGAAAACAAAACGTGAAATAAACATTGGAAAAAAGCACCGGCAACAAGGCCGAAAACAACGTAGCAGAAAACCTTTCAGCCGAAAAAAAATCAAATGATTAAAACCTAAAAAAAGCCCCCTCCCCCCTCATATATGCGGCCACTAAGATGATATAATTGGGCCGAAAGCTATTAGGGGGAAAAAGGCTATTTTTTTCAGAAAAACTGTCAACAAAAATTGATGATCTACCAAATTTTCATATCGTGGTCTTGATTTCAAACAAAAATCCTCTCAAAAAACGGCAAGTGAAACAATTGAATGTTAAAAGAGCACAGAAACAAATGTACAAACTGGTAATAAAGCCGAGAATTCTTGAGCAAACATAAGTTGAGCCGAAACAAATTTTTTTACACAGGCGAAGCGGAGCTTGCATCACTTGCGATACAAAAAAATGAATTAAAGAACTAAAATGTTGTTGAAAAAATAGGGTGAACCAAAATTTCCGTATGTCACGACAAAAGATAACTAGCGGCCCAGCTAAAGCTGGAGGTAGCAATTGGATATTTTTGGAATTTGTTATAATGATGCGAGATAATAAATTAATTTCCAAGTATATGAACACAAATACACTTGAAAGAATAAATATCTTATTAAATTAGACTTTGTCCACCACCTTAGTGTTGGATCAATAAGTGAGAAGAGTGAAATTTTTTGACAAATTGGAATCTTCCCAAAAACACAACAATTTTAATTAAAAAATTTAGGAGGCACCGCTTCTCCAGGAAAAATTCTTGCAACTAGTTGTTTCGATTGAACCCTTTATCTCAGATTTGATTGGATAGTTTCTAAGAGTTTCTTAAAAACGGCTAAAAGTTCAAAAACTTGACTTTCCGAAATCCATAAGTTCGTTTCAGCAAAAAGAACGTCGTGGCCGCTTAAGCACAAAACATCCAGAAACAGGTTTCTCGATTGAACACTAGCCTACGATTTTAAAGGAAAGTTTTCCATAAGTCAAAAAGTTTCCACATAAACTGACAAAAGTCAAAAGTTTGATTTTTCAAAGAAACATTGCTCTTACTGTAGAAAAATGTAGGCAAAGCCGCTTATGCAAAAGAGATTCACACAAAAATTTATTTCAATTGAATGAAAAAACTCAGGTTTTGAGGGTAGTTTTTGAGAAAAGGCAAACAGTTTTGAAAAGCCATAAGCAAATGGCAAATAGGTTTTGGGCAAATTTGGATCGAGAGCATCAAATTCTGGGCATAACCGTTTGTGCAAGGGAGCTTCTACGCCCAATTTTTTTTATAACACAAAGTCATTGACCTGGGAAAAGTTAATTTTTTTTTTGGGAGATTAGTTTTCACATTTTGGAAGGTAGTTTGAGAAAAATCGAGTTTCTGTGAGCAGTCAGAAACTAAAAATTAGAATTTTCCGAGGGCCATAACTTTATATATATGTAAAGGAGCTTTTCACAAATTTTTCTTCAGATTAAACCCAAAATCTCAGATTTAAGCGGATAATTTTCGATAATGAAAAAACGGTCAAAACTCAAATGTTTGACTATTCCAAGGGTCATAACTTTTTGTGTAAAATATTTGGGTGCGAACGCTTATTCAGAGAAGCTTCCCACAAACTTTTCAAACCATTGCACCTATAACCTCCTATTTGGGATAAAAGTTTTTGACAAAACAAAAAATCCAAAAATATGGACAAAAAATTCCCTTGCAACTACCATGCTACTTGATAACAGCACAAAAAAGATCCGTGGCGTGGCACATGAAACGGAAAACTTTGAGCAGCTAAACAAAAGTCCGATAATTCAATTTTAACCGGAAAAAATGCAATTTCATACCTACTAAAAAAACAAGGTCCAGACGGTACTTGAACAGACATTACTCTGGAAAAGCAACTGCGTTAGCTCCTGGCCAATTGGGGAGGAACCTGGATTGTTATCATTCAAAAATGAAGGAAATTCAGTTTCTTGTAAAACAAAATTGTTTACAGGAAAGAAGTCTAATTTCCTATTACAAGACACTTGCTCTCGTCTCGCAAGTGTAAAAAATTTACAAATACAAAAAAAAAACAGTTTTCAAGCCCTCTCAAAAGTAAAAACATATTTTGATCACGAACCTTCTAAAAATAAGGCGCTGAGCCGATAAAATATATGCCGAGACTTTCAAGCCAAATGAAGAAAACATAAAAAAAATGATGTACTTACTGAAATCGGAGTTGGTAACTTTACAACCGACATTAAAACAAACTTCGACACAGACAGGATGCTGTGCTTCGCAAACACTACCGAGAACACTACAAAAACGCAGGTTTCTTAAAAAAAGAAAAATCAGAAATACGCATCGAATTAGTAAAACTTTGCTACAATTCCGTTTCGAACCTGCACTTCGAGATTTGGAGTCTCACGCCTTGTCGTCTCGGGCACGGACGGTTAAATACAGCAAAATAATATTCACATAAGCAGCTATATATGCTAACAAAATGCCAATGCGATGCAGCAAAAGTGGTGCCAAATACCAATAGAACCAAAGCATAAAGCCAAATTACTAATTTCAAAACTTCAAGAGATATATTGAGTTAGAAAATTTTTGAAATCGAGTTTTCTGATTGTTATGCTCAGAAAAAAAACTATTTCTTTTGGTTCATTTGATGAATTAAAAATGCATCAACTGTGTTAATTTATAAATAATCGGAGGTCAAAGCGCATGCTACCAAAAAAACGTAGGTTGTGCCACCACAAGAGGCACCAATACTTGCGACTTAGGTTAAAAAAAAGAATAGTCGTACTATTACACTACGCTCACTAAAATCCGCAAGTGTAAATGGAACGGGAGCATTTAAAAAGCAGACAAACTACAAAAAATTTGTCTGTCGGTTGACGAACGTATAGTCTAGTTTATGACTTAAATTTAGTCTTCTTGCAAATTAAGTTGTTAACGGAGGAAAAGATGGATGATTACATCTGATCACTAATAATAAGCAGTTTTATTTAGTGATCTGCTAATTTGATTCTTGCATGTGATGTACTGGTGATATTCATAGGACCTAAATTAAACACAGGCGAAGCTGAGCTTCGCGCCACTTGCTATACAAGTTAAGAATTAAAACCGCAAGAAACTCAAGAACTATCAACACAGAGGCGTAGTTGAGCTTCGCACCACTTGCGATTAAACACAAACTTAAAAAATATAAGTCGAAAAAATGGAAAACATTGAAAAAACTAGTTCTACCAAAATTTAAATTGTCGTATGTCTCGATAGGATTTCATTCTAGGCTAAAATGCCAGAAATTTGAAAATAAAATTGGCAACAGAAAAAAATTGAGCATAAATATTTCATGAAAAAGTTTTAATTTTAAGTCCTACTTGAGACTAGAATGAACAACACTTGCACTTTCAACTACAAAGGATGTTGTTTACAGCACAAGAAAACAAAAATCAGTGATATGGCAACTAAGCCGACAATCTTTGAGCAGACACCTGTTGAGCCGAAAAACAAATTAATTTAAAAGAAACAATTCCAAGTCCACCTCTCTGAATCTACAGGGAACAACAATTGCACTTGTACTGAAAACTTCTTACAACACAAACAAGATTTGTGATGTGGCAACTCAGCCGACAAAAACTTTGTAGAATAACCAAAGTCCAACAATTCATTTTTTACCATTTTTTTTTCAATTGCATATATACTGAAAAAAACAAGGTGGACCGAGAGTCGAGCTCCAGAACGTAGGGTACAAAGGCAACGGCGTTAACTCGGTAAAATGAAAAGTTACAAACTTTCTTTATGAGTAAAAAAAAGCAAATCAAATTAAAATCCATTTTTACGGAAAAGCGGAAGAAAACAGTACCAAATATAAAAAAAATCATTTAAAAACGGGAAATGAACCGATAGAAACTAGGCCGAGAACAACGAATCCGAAAAAAATCAACCTGTTATCGAGAAAATCATTTCAAAATAAACAAACACCAGAAACGGACTACACCTATTTACCACCTAAATGAAGGTTGTTTTAGTTGCATTTTCAAGAAAGTGAGCATGTCTGAAATTTACATTCCTAAACATTTGACTATTATGTGCCTTCGGTTATTTACGGAAAAATAGTCTAGTAGCCGAGTGCAATACCCTTGCTTATTTCAAGGAAAAAGAAGACTTTGAACGTTGTTACAATGAGGAAACAACTAGAAAAACGAAAATCCAGTTTTTTATGTTTAACAAATTCAAATGTTTCAATGATTTCTAAGAGGCGTTGAATTTGAGCACTCAAAAATTTAAAATTAGGACAAAAAACTTTCAGATCTCATGAAAACAATATCGGAAATTTGACGCAAGAAAATATTAGATAAAAAGGCCGACAGCCAATTAGCTCGGCAAAAGTTCATTGGAAAAAATTTGATGTACTGCCTACGAAAGCCATAAATGTACTGAATTCAAGGTCTTCCATACAATTCGCAAACTAAACCGCGAGCTTGATAGAAAGCCGAAAAATCATTATATCGATGTTAAAGGGTAGTTGTAATGTTTTATCATTACACAAACAATTATATTATCGAAATGCATGAGTATAAATTCAAAAATCTTGCCCAGATGACAGAATGCAAAATTAGCATCGGAAAAAAACTTATCAAGCGGTAAAACAGAAAATACCACAGCAAAAAAATCCTTCATGCCAAAATATATTCGAAAAAATTTTATCATCAAACGACGCAATAAGGGGCCACTGAGTTGGTAAAAAACCGAAAAAAAAAGAGAAAAAAAAACATTAACAAAAAATGAAAATATAATAAACCGAGTGAGTAAAATACAACCAAGGCAAAAAAAATCGAATC